TCCTTCCACCTCCATTTATATCATATCATCGGTTCTCTTTCTGGTTCAGTCCCTCAACAAAAGACATAATACTATTTCTTTCAACTTATAGAAATATATAAATAAACCCTCTCTTGACCCAAATTTCCCCAGCAATCACTCCATTACTGTATATATTTCTCTATACCACATCACAACAAAATTCTTAAAGGAATTGTCTGTATTTGCTGTCTCCAATTCCTCTCTTCCTACTACTTATTAAGCCAACTCCAATCAGACTTTTGCCTCACCACTCCACTGAAACTACTTGTCAAGTTTACTACTGGCCTCCATTGGATTTACTGCTAAATCCAATGTTCAATTCTCAGTACTCATCTTATTTGACAAAACAACAAAATATAATATAGTTGATCTTTCCCTATTTCTTTTTTTTTTTGGCTGCTGGCTGTTAAAGGCATCCGAACCCTTGACCTTGGTAGATCTTTCCCTATTTCTTGTAACACTTTCTTCACTTGGTTTCCAGGATGCTACTCTGTCTAGGTCTTCCTCCCCACCTAAAGGCTGTCTAGAAACCACAGAAGTGTGCAGGTAATGATGAATTTAGAAAATGAGTATTGATTCATTCTACAAGGAGGCTAAGGTGAAGGCTACAATACGAAATTTAACCATGCTAATGGTTATTATGTTTAAGTTTCTTTGTCTTTCATATATCTAGGGACAATCCACCTTATGGTTTTCACTGTGTATCACTCCTGTATCCACCTCTCCTGAATGGCACTTGTAAATTATAGGTTCTCAAAACATATTTCTTGAAAAAAGGAATTTGACTTTGAATAAATTACCAGCATGGGATTTACTTACATATTTCCCCTGAAAACCTTGTTTAGAAACTGTTCCTCACCTTCTACTATTGGCATGAATATTATTTATTGAATGATTAAATCAATATAAATGTATTCTACTCACAAAAATTCCCCATAAAGCACATCCTGTTTTGTAAGTTAATGGTTCATACGTCCCAAAGACTCCTTTAATTTGTCCTATATACAAAATCAATAGGAAATACCACATGAAAACACTAAAGATGCCAATCATAATCTGGATAGCCTGTGAGAAGAGAATGATATTAGTACTGAAATAACATAATTTATTATATAAATCCAATAACTGTTAACTGCAACAAACATTTAGCATCTTTACAAAAGATGAAGGTAAAATAGCAATGCACTTAACTATGTATTTCCTGGATTGGTTATCCCAGAAAGAACACCCAAATCAGGAAAGACTGAGGTTTACCAAATAGGAATCAGCCATACTTGGAGCAACAGACTGTTCATAAGAAAGTTGACCATTTGTTTCTACCACTGGCTATCCTCCCTACCTATCAAGTAATGACATGAGAGGAGAATACTGAGGGTACTTGGGAGAGAAAATGTGGTTACTAATCTACTTGGATGCAGAAAGCCATATATCCAACATTTTCTCTTACATTAGTAATTTATTAAGGATAAATCACTTTTTGAATCTTATAAAAGTTTATCTTTATTTTCAAGGAATACTTGGCATGGATTTTTTCACAAGCATGTTGGAGTGAGGTACAATCCAACACAGCGATACAGAGGATATCCAAAGTTGACTTGCTTGCGTTAGGTCTTCCCATTGGATAGAAAGTGGGTTAGAGTAGGGGAGAATTATTACTCAACTTTAATTTGTAAAAGGACAATTACAATCCTAGTAAATATGTCCCAGTAAATTCATTTCTGAATTTACATGTGAACTGATATTTAATATTCTGAATCACATTTTTAATTATTCTTTAAAAATAATAGAGGATACATTGTTTTTATTTTCATATGAACTTTAATAAGAAGCTATTTAATATTTTAAAAGTGCCAGCTCTTTGTCAAGCCAAGTAGTTTGTGAAACACATAAATGCAACTGTCTAATGTTAAACATACATTTTAGAGAAGTTTTCTTGTTTTTTAAAGAGAGACCAAGTTTTTTGGTAACAATCTTATTCATTTTTATAGATTTAAAATTTAAATTTCCCATTGCATCAAATTTGCAAGAATGGTGTTATTTACAGAGGTTCTTTGATCTTGACCGGAAGAAACATACTCCACACAACATTGCAAAATCCTCAAGGGCCTGGACTTTTTTTCTCATTGTATCACCAGCTGCTACTACGGTGCTCAGCATATATCAGGCACCCAGTAAATACCTCTAGTATAAGCATATTGTATCAAGAACAGTAATTCCACATGACTTTCCCAACCGTTAAAAGAGTGAGTGGGCTTTGATATGATTGGCTGTTGTTCAAAGCCAATCATAGCCAAAGCTTGTAAAAAATGGTTCTTAATCTAGAGCCAATGAATGGGTTCCAGGAGGCCAGACATTCCTCCTCTCCTCCCCCAAGAAAGAAAAAGCGCAAAGGACTGCAATATGTACATGATTCTGAGGAGAAGATTCAGAGCTTTCATTCTATGCCAAAGCGGTCTATGACCCCAAAGAGGTTAAGAACCTCTTGAATAGCCAGGTAGGAGATTTAGACAATTGATCTACACATCATCCAAATTCAGAGAAAAAGTTCACATCGGTGGAAAAGTTTTCTCCCCTTCAGATGTGAAAAAGCATGATTTTCATAATTCCTTGGTGTTTATTAAGAGTGATATAAACTGTCTGTAACTTTACATGTTTATAACTTAACAGAAGAGACAAATTTATAACTATCCTACTGCATAGACATCAGTATAGTAATTTAAAAAGATCATTGATAGATCTTTCTCAAAGTTAAAAAAAAAATACTCATACTCTTTTTTTTCCTCTTATTCCTTATTTGGACTTCTCTATTACTCTCTGTGTGTGATTTAGTCAGTACACTTATATCTAAGAACAAATTGTTTATGAAGGAACATGAGGTCAGTCAAAATTTGTAGAAGATGATCAACATTTTTGAAAAAATAAACTTTTATCCTTTTGATTTAACCAAATCTGCCCCCCTCCAGATCCAAGAACACTCTTTTAAAAATTGAAATAGTTCTTGATACAGAATTTAATTAGTCAAAGTGAAATCTTACTTACCCCTAAAACAAGAGAATTTACTGCAGAGATTTTTGTATTTGCACATGCCATAGTACCAGCATTTCCTCTAAATGATTCTGTCTTTAACCTTTGGTGATATCTTTATTAGCAAACTTCTACAAAACAAGACAAAACATGATTTTCTCAGAAGAAAACACTTAAGTTTGTTTATTCCCTTATTGTTTGGCAACAACCTTCCCAAACTCAGACAATAACTTTCTTTTTCCTATGTTTAATTCTTAGAGGCATCAACTTGCATCCACCTATTCTGAATAACTGCCTCCATAACTTAAAAGGCTCTCTCTACAACTGAAAAAAATTGGTATGTTCTAGATACTATCTCTGAGTAGGAAACAGTGTCTCTAGATGATAAAGTATAAAGAACACCTAGGGAATAGTATTAGAGAATTTTTGGTAAAGCTTTCAACAGTTCATTTGCAATTCATAATCAATTCAATGCAATTCATAATGCCATGCTTGCATTTTCAAAATCAAGTTCTTATATTTAAGTTCACTAAAAATGTGGGCTTGTGATTTTTTTTTCCTAATTAATATCTGTTACCTAGTTCTTTCTATATGAAAAAACCTTCTCTTCTATCAGAAAACTTATCAAAGCTGCTTCTGCAATCCTAAAGGCACCTCCTGTTCTTTCCTTCCTGTTATTCCTATATTTCTCCCTGGTGTTTAGATCATCTTAATATTTACAGTAAGATAAAAACCTGGCTAATAATTACAAAGGGATTGAATCCCTTTGTAGATCTGAAATTCTACATCTGTTACTATGTCATGCATAGGTCAATAGCATAAGCCATGCCACCCTACTAACTGATGATCTTAAAATTTGAGGTTTGAATCTTTTCAGAAAGGAGAAAGTTTGACTAAATGACCTCTCATTTCCTGCACCCTTAAAGTCTCATGACTTGGTTATTTTAATGAGTCTTCAGTTTCTAAAATTTATTTTCTCAATATCTCAATGCTATAAAGCACAGAGACAGAAAAAGCTAGGTAATAATACAAGAACAAGTGATGGCAAAAAACCAAAAATACAAAAAAAACCCCAAACCAAAATTGAAACCGTATGTTAGTGACCGAAGTAAGCTTTATATGTTCAAACCCCATCTTTGAGAAATAACAAAGAAAGTGTTTAGAACCATATGCAAGCAAGATTAGTCACTCTGACATGATGAAATGAAAAGCCATAGAATTATAGAGTTCATATGAAAAGCCCCATCTAGACTGCTATTATTTGTCACTTTTTAGAAAACAGGAAAATAAAAATAAGCCCTTTTGTGTATACTGTACAGAAGAATTCTTTTTACATTTGTAGTTAACAGTGGAAGCACCATGAAGTGAACTAGGGAGTAGAATTGGAGAGTAGAATACGAGTATTTAGCATTACTGTAATTTCCATCAGGTCTCCACCAAAACCACCCCTTAAGTTACGTATTCATAAAAATACTAATGAGGGGAAAAAATAAAAAAGACGTGTGTGTTTAAAATCCTCAGCTTAATTGGTGGAAGGAAGAACTAAAAAATCCTACAATATACTCCTGTAATAACTGATGGTTGGAATTCTTCTCAATAAAACATTCTACATTTAGTTACCGTACATCCCAGTTAAGCATCCTGTTTTTGAAATAAATAAATAAATAAACGATCTTTATACCTTTGTTTTCTGATAATCTCATCACTAATATAAAAGAAGCTGCAGGAGGCGTCCCTTAGCCCTCATTCCCAACCTCATTGTTACCCCATAAACTCGCGTTACACAGGAACTCTGTAACAGTCACAGAGAGCTCATATCTAGCAACCACCCCACTATCTTGAGCATCTTCAGAGGGATGCAACCCCTCAATGCCTTCAGAACACAGTTCAAATTCATTAGCAGTGCCTATAAAGCCCTTCGTGAACTGCTTCCCTGCCCACGTTCTCAACCTCATCCTGGCCATTCCCCCGTTTCCGCGCTAACAAGCTCCAGCAGGACCCTTTGTGAAGTCTGCTCTGACTCACAAGTCTGTTAGATGCTCCTCTCCCTGTTTCCCCAACATTCTGTGTATTCTAAATTTGATTTTCAGAACTGGTTCCCAAGTTAACGTGAGCTCCGAGAAGTTAAGGAATTCATTTCTAGCATGTCCAGGGCCAGTTCTGGGAGGGGACCCGGGATTCTACACTTGATGAGATCAGGAATGGCAGGGTTGGTGGGTGAGAAACTGACTCCGCCGAGCAGAGAGGAGATAGGCGGGAGGGGTGGGGGAGGGGCACCATCTTCAGTCGCCATGGCCCTTCATGGCTTTTGACACTTATGAAATCTCTTAAGCAAAGCGACATCATTACCACGCATTTTACTTGTTCAAGGTTCCAAGGACTGAGTTTCACCCTCTCACGTCCAGGTCCAGGCCTCGGCTAAGGGGATCTCCCGCGCGGGCCGGCCACCCTGCCACGGGAGCCGTCTTCCAGCACCCACTCCGGGTCCTCACGCCAGCGCCCAGGCCCGGCTGAAGAGGAAGACCCTGGCTGGGGGAGCCCTCAGCGCCACGTTCCCAGTCCCCGCTGAGTGGCCATCACAAAAGGTGGCCCGGAGCCCAGCACACAGCCGGCCTTCGGGCTCCTCAGGCAGCGAGGGTCTTCAGCGGCAGCGGCGTGGTCCTTGTGCGCCTGCGCTGACCCAGTCAGGCACGGGAGGGGCGGAGGGAGGGCGTGTGCGCAGACTCACTAGGGCCTGCCAGCCACGTGGTCGGACAACCAACTGCGTTTGGGGGTCTGTAGAAATGGCTTCCCCAAACCTTGATTCAGAGATTGCCTGTTCTGGTACATTTGTTATACACATGCGAGCTGCAGAGTGACCAGGTTCATGATGAAAAGTCAGTCCTTCACCTTAAATGTCTTCAAAGAAAAATTTTGACCAAAAATGCACTTTATAAGGCGTAAGTAATGAAAAAGAAAAATAGGTGGAGCTGTGTCAATGGCTCACCTCTCCTCCTCCGCGTACCACCGACACCTGGAAACATTAGTAA